TGTATTTCTTACTAGTTTTTTTATTTTTTTCTTTAATGGTTAGAATATTAAAATCTTTGTGAATATTTGCATTTGCAATGTGTCGCAAAGTTTTTGATTGGTAACGCTGAAGTATCTCAATATTTGAGTTGCTAGCAGTTCCCCAAAGCTGTATAGCGTAGGTCCAAACAGGCTTCAGTATGGATTTGTAGAGGCGAATTTTGTTTTCCAAAGTGGTTTCTGATTTTCGACTTATCAGCCAGGACATTTTTAGTGTTTTAAGTCTAAGTTGTTGACATTTTGCTTTAATGTGGTTTTTCCATGTTAATCTGCGGTCGAGATGCAAGCCGAGATACTTCACACAGGTACTTTGTGCAATTGGTGAGCCGTTAAGTGTAACATTTGGGCAGTTACCTGGTCTTAATGAAAACGTTATTTGGACGGATTTCAGGGAGTTTATTCTAATTTTCCATCGAAGGAACCAGTCTTCAATTAGGCTTAGCTCACTCTTCAGGAGTTCGGAAGCTTCATTTATTGATGTGCTTGTGGCTAAAACGGCCGTATCATCAGCATATGTTGCAACAGTGCAGTTGTTTGTAACTGGCATGTCGGCCGCATATAGGGTGTAGAGAATTGGTCCCAATACGCTTCTTTGTGGGACGCCTGAGTTGATGAGAAGTAGTGATGAACTATCGGTTTTCTGCTGCACGTAAAAGCATCTTCTAGCCAGATATGATTTGATTAATAAATAGTACGGAGCAGGTAGCCATTTCTTTATCTTGTACAACAAACCTTTGTGCCAGACTCGATCGAACGCTTGTTGAATATCAAGAAATGCAGCAGTGCAGTATTTTTGGTTTTCAAATGCCGAAACTATATCATTAATAACCCTGTGACATTGCTCGGGGGTCCCATGACCCCTCCTGAATCCGAATTGGTATTCAGGAATGATGGAAAGTTCGTCCAAAATTGGCAACATTCTCTTCAATAGTATTTTTTCAAACACTTTCGAGAAAATTGTCAACAGACTAATGGGACGGTATGATGTCAATTCCGTTTCTATTTTGTTTGGTTTTAGGATCATAACGATCTCTGCACATTTCCATTGACTTGGAAAGTGGTCTAGTCTGAGAATCGCGTTATATATAAGAGTGACAAAACCGAATGCATTTTGGTGGTAAACTTTTTAGGGTGATACCGTCTATTTTATCAGGGCCTGGTGATTTTTTATTGTTCAAGCATTTGATTTCTGTCACAACTTCTTCATACTTAATGCTTTTAATAGGCAAGCTCATTTGGCAGGGTGACTCAAGGAATTTTTCTACTTCAGTCTCTGTTGTATAATTATTTATATCGTTTGGCTGAAACACAGAGTGCAGATGTTGTGCAAATGCTTCCGCTTGTTCATTATTAGACCTACACCAAGTTCCGTTGTTTTTGCGAATATTTATGTTTCTTTTAGCTGGTTTCTTTAGGTATTTAGTCGCCCTCCATAGGTTGTATTCATTGTTGCTTGAATTAGGGTCTAAGTTTCTCAGATACGCAGCTAGAGATTCATTGCGTAAGTTCGACAGCAGTTGTCTAAGCTCAGATGCAGCCTTGTTGTATAATCTTTTGTCAGCAGGGTAGTGAGTTTCTTGCCAGCGTTTTCGCAGATTCCTTTTATTTTGTATTTTTTGTCGAAGATCGGTTGAAAGGTTCAATTGGTTTGGTTGTTGATGATTAAGAGCATGATTCGTGTTTCTGTAGCTCGCATTATGAATTGTATTTGTGAAAAGCTCCACAGCATAGTCTATCTCCTCTCCTGTTTTTAACGGAATGTCCAGGCTTATAGCTGAATCTAAATGGCTTTTAAATGCGTTAATGTCTGTAGAGGCTGTTATTACTTTATAGGGCTTTTCCAACATATGGGCTATTGTGCTGTAAGTTGCTATTATTGGAGAATGATCTGTGTTAAGGTCAAAGCTCTNCGTAAGTTCGACAGCAGTTGTCTAAGCTCAGATGCAGCCTTGTTGTATAATCTTTTGTCAGCAGGGTAGTGAGTTTCTTGCCAGCGTTTTCGCAGATTCCTTTTATTTTGTATTTTTTGTCGAAGATCGGTTGAAAGGTTCAATTGGTTTGGTTGTTGATGATTAAGAGCATGATTCGTGTTTCTGTAGCTCGCATTATGAATTGTATTTGTGAAAAGCTCCACAGCATAGTCTATCTCCTCTCCTGTTTTTAACGGAATGTCCAGGCTTATAGCTGAATCTAAATGGCTTTTAAATGCGTTAATGTCTGTAGAGGCTGTTATTACTTTATAGGGCTTTTCCAACATATGGGCTATTGTGCTGTAAGTTGCTATTATTGGAGAATGATCTGAGTTAAGGTCAAAGCTCTCCATTACTCGCATGTGTGATTGTGGGATTCCAGAGAATACTATGAAATCAATCAAATCTGGAATTTTTCGACTATCAGTTGGCCAGTATGTGGGCACACCAGTTGACAAAGTCGTTATGTTATTGTTTCGTATGCATTTGTATAACTCCGATCCCTTCGGGTTAGTTAATCTGGATCCCCACCATGGATGTTTGGCATTGAAGTCGCCTCCCACGATAAACTTTGTTCCCAGTCCTTGGAAAAAGTTTTTAAAATCGAGTTCTTTTATTGTGAATCTTGGTGGGAGATAAATCGCTGTTATTGATACATCTGCGTGCATACATTTTATCTGAATTGTGGCAGCTTGCATAGCGTTTTCCCTAGTACTGTCCATGATTTGAAATTTAAGGCCCTGCTTGACAAGAATTGCAGCACCTCCATGAGCTCTATCTGATGGATGGTCAGCTCTTACTGTGTCGTATCCAGTAACTTTAAAAAAAGATTTGCTAGTGAAGTGTGTTTCTGAAATAAGCATGACGTCAATGGCATTCGTTTTTAAAAATAAAGCTATTTCATTTACATGGTTGGAAAGCCCATTGGCATTCCATATTCCTAAGTTTAGATTTATTTGCATAGCTTATTTACAAGTAACATTATCATGTTAAGTAAATTATTGGTAAGTTGAGATTGTTTTTCTAGAAGCTGTTCTATTCTTTCTAGAGACTTGTTCGAGTTACTATTTCCTGCAGCAACTTGAGCGTATGATTGGTAATCTTTGGGTTGTTGGGTCGAATTATTAAACGGAGCAAATGATTGATATGTATGTATTGTCATCTTTGGTGTTTCTCTGGTGGTTGCGTCCGCTTACTATTTTTTTTGATATAAGATCCTGATAGACTTTACACCCTTTGTAAATGATGATGATCAGCATGATCTTCGTTGCAGTTGGCACATTTTGCTGGTTGCTCTTTATCTTTTGGGCAAACGTTGCTGGGATGGTTAAGAGAGCATTTCACACATCTGTGAGTTTTGGCACAATATGACTTTGTGTGTCCAAATTCCTGGCAACGATAACACTGAACGATTTCTTTAGTTTTACGGGGTGGTTCTATATTAACAACTGCGTTACCAATGAGTTTAACTTTGTATATATCTAAGTTCTTATTGTTGGGCTCAATGTCTAAGTAGAACAAATTCAATGGCTCTTTGGTTACACGACTTTTAATATTACTAATGTTTCTAACAGCGTGACCTTTGGACTCCACATCTTGTTTGATTAAGTCGATATCCGTTGAGAAGTGCAAATTCTTAATAACAACTCTGAATGCCCTCTCATGTTTAAGTTGGTATGTGTAAAATTTGACAGAATCTTTAGTAAGAGTTTTAACAAGTTTCCTGTATTCTTCAATAGACTTTACCATACCTCTCACATGATCATCGCGTTGTACTTTATAAAAGAAAAGCTCTTTTTTAATTGTAGTCTCGAGGTAAACTAGCATTCCTTTTATATCACTGACTTCAGATAAGAATATAGGTGGCGGCTTGGCAGATTCAGTTAAGTTATCTTCAGTTATCATGCCCAGTGCTTCGTTTTCATCTTCATTTCCGTTATTTGGCGTGCTGTCGCTTAGGAGGGCATATTGATTGGAGCTGGTGCTGGGTGCTAAGTCCAGAGCGATTTTTACTTTAGTAGAATCGGAGAAGCCTTTGGCTTCGGTTTTACTCTCTGCCAGTTCTAAACCGTTGTGTCGTCTTCGTCGTCGTTCATGATAACAACACTTTGTTATTGCTTATCACTAACCACTGTTTTGTTTGTTTTGAGAAATCTTTTTTATTATCGAATGCCCTTTTGGCTCATTTTTTAAATACACTTGGATTTTTAGAAAAAAAAACGCGATTTTTCTTGGCATTTTTATCCCGTCCGATTATGCGTTGAGTCTTAAGACATGACTGTTTGGTTTTTGGTTTTTCGATTAAAACTAACTGTTCTCACTAAAAAGTATGACTTTTTGTTTATTTGGATTTGGATAGGTAATACTATAAAGTTGAATAAAAAGTGAAAAAACGGTTTGTTTAACGCATTTCCATATACATTTTGAGCACATTCGTACACAGGAAACTGCTGTCCGATTATGCGATGGAGCCACTGTTCATAGTAAATAGAGTAAAACTAGTGGACCTCTTTACACAATCGCTTTTGGGCGACATGGCCTTATCTATTATCAATGTGCATAGGACACGGCTCTGACGCGGCGCTGCCGCTCACGTACACGCTAGTTAAAGTGATTCGTACCAATACCAATATATTTCGGGGTTCCGTTTTGCGTGCGTCTTTACATACAAACGCAAAAACGGCTCGGTTATTGTATGGGTGCCGAGCCCTGCGATAAAAGGATAGATATAAATGAACAGAATGAAACGATAGCCAAACCAGGCAGGGAAAAACGGTCAAATTAAAAACTGTTCGAGATAAAAAAACTAATTTAATAGATTGATTTAATTTACATAGAAATTTCAAACACTTTGTACATGAAATGAAATACATTATCTTGAATTGCCAATAATATTCCCTCTTCGGAAGTTTTGAAGATTCTAAAAAGAATCAACTCCTTAAAGGAAATATGAAAACGAAAAGAGCTGCTTTATGAGAATTGATTAACTTCATCAAAAGCTTATATATGCATGCAACTTCCCATCCTGTAGATGACGCCTCGGGATGGTCCACCGTCTCCTCTAGAAGTTGGCAGAGCCAGACTTAGCAATCGATCCCGACAGGCGGTTGCCGCCAAGAGGCGTTATGCCAACCGAGCTGCCAGTGCAACTCTCACTTACATACAAATTACTGGCCGCCATTCGGAGTTGGTTCAAACAAAGCGAGATCACCTCACCCCGAGCGGCAAACACTGAGCCGGACAGAGCGTACTTGGACTGGTGGGTGGCCAGGTTGAGTGCATCCGCCAACGAGTCATCGGCATAGACAAATATTGGAAGCAACGGCCCCGAAAGGGGTTCGCTCAGTAGGGGATCCAGCGGGTTCATGGTCCGCAAAATCGTCGGCTCGACAAAATAGCCAAAGTTATCGTTGCAGGTGCCACCGCACAAAAACTCCGCTTCCTTGTTGGACTCCATTAGTTTCCTCAAGCGCTCGTAGGCTGCCCGGTTAATGACGGGCCCCATCTTGGTCTCCTCCTGGGTGGGATCACCGACTGTAAGTCGTTTCACTGCTTCGATTAGCTGTTCCCGCAGCTCGGTCCACATGGAGGATGGCACATACATGCGGGCCAATGAATTGGAGTACTGTCCGGCATAGTTGAATGCTGCTTCCACGGTGGCCGAGCAGACGTCCTCTATCTTGGCACTGCTATGAACAAAGTGAAAGTTCTGGCTGGCACATTTGACCACCAGGCGAGGGAAGCAGATGTACCGCTGCATCTTATCGTTCACCAGCTTGTGGATATAACGATGGTCTTGGGCGCTGCCGTGGCAATTGACTCCGGCAAAGTGCTCGGCATCCGTGATGGTATCTAGGAAAAGTCTTCTATTGGATGGCACAAAGTTCAGCACGCCCTTTGGCAGACCAGCCTTCTTGAAGGCCAGGTAGACGAGGTAGCTTATGGGGGCCACTTCAAGGGTAGGGTTCCACAAAACTGTGTTGCCCATGAGCATGGGACACAGAGCCAGACTGGCGGACAGGGCGACCGACTCGAACGGCGCAATGGCAGCCACAAAGCCATCCATGGGAAACACGCGCTCTTCGCCCTGGATGTCTAAGCGCAGCTGCGTCAAACGCTTCAGGTAGTCGGCATTGGCTCTAAGCGACGTGACAAGGCGCCAAATATCCTTGCCGGCGTCGACGCTTGTCTTTCCCTGAGCCAGCATCAAATACATCCGCATACGGAATTCATCCGCCTCGATTATGTCTGCAGCATGCCTCCAGATGGTTAGACGGTCCGCCGCGGTTACAAGACTCCAGGTTCCCTGAGCCCTTAGTGCCGCCCTGATCGCACTCTCAATTTGGCACCGGTTCGCATAATATATCTGGGCCACCGTCCGCTTCAGTTCGTGGGGACAGGATAGCCTCTGGTTGTCCATAGTGTAGGGGTTTTCGGTCTATCTGGAATGCGGCATGGTTGATCAACAACTGCTGGTTCCTGTTCATCCTGGCCTCCCCGTCCTTTGAGTTCACCGCGTCTGGACTACCGTTCACTTTATCCTCCTCCAGAGTCTTAATCACTTCGCTACTTAGCCCGTCTGCGCCCAATCGACGGCGTAGTGGAGCTCTGTTGACTCTAAAAAAACCAAACCTTAGCATTTTAAACTCTTACAATTTCAACTTGATGCCTTTCAACAGGAATTTTTAATACAAATTCGCCAGATCCGTATGTGTGTGTGTATAGTGTGTGCACAGTACGTTTCACAATTTTAAGACAGTTGTGGGAAAGGCAGTTCAGACTGACTGAGACTGTGTGCTCCAGTCTATTGACTGTTAAATTTTCAAACACGAGTAAAGCCTTTCACAAGTGTCTTATGGTCTGAAAGCGCGTTGCTCAGGCACTGGGGTGGGTATGGCGTGCATGTTTTAGGGCTTCAAACCAAGTGCGCGAAACAAATTGTAAGAAGGAATGGATCACAATATCAAATAGTTTAGAATCACAAATTTAGGACTAGGTTGGGTTTGTCTCCGAATTGGAGCATTATACATAAGGAATGCCACTAACGTGGGTGATGATGAGTGGAGTTGGTTTGGGTTGGAGAAGGATTAGTAGAAGTACTTTACGACTCTACCGAGTCTAGTCTAAACAGATATCTCCTTAAGTATTCCCTTCCTTTGCAGAACTCACTTTAGATATGTTATCGAAATTGGTTGTCGTTGTTTTCGTGCCGTGCCTTTCTCTTGGGCATTTCGTCAAATTGATTTGAAGGTAACGCGTTTCTAAGGTCACTAAGGTGCTAAATATGCCGAGTACTATATCTAAGTCCATCCAACGGGGGAATGCATCGTGGGTCTGGGGGTTAAGTGTTTGGGTAAATACTAAGCAGTCTTGCGGTCCCATCGTTTTCACTGTCTTCGTTTTTATATGCTTAAGGTTATACATTACAGCTGCGCTGCCAGGCCCGAGGCAGATATGTTATCCCCTGCGCCGGCCGTTTTCCTGGCCACGCGACAGACCAGCACGGGGGCCACACAGATCTCAACCTTGATGCGCTGCAGATCGCGACCATATTGTATGTACTCCTTCCAGCAGGGAACCGGACTGGCAGCGCCGATTCGCATACGTGGCGCATTATCCTGCATGGATGTGGCGAAACTGTCGTCCAGCACCTGGAGCACGGACTCCGGATTTATCTGAAGATGAAAATTAGGTTTTAGTTCAAAGGAGAATCTAGAGGGAAACAGAATGGGCACAAACTTACAAACTGTGATTTGCAGACGTAGCGATGAGCGGTCAGAGCCGCCTTGGCCGCCGCAGCACGCGTGTTTTTCCATTGAGAGTCGGCGGTGGTCAGGATTGCCTGGTAGGCTAGTGTGTGCACATGAAGTCGCGAGATCTTGCGTCGCTTGGGGTCGCTACGGCTCTCTACGCTGAAATCCTCCAGTAAGTTGATGAAAACTTGTCGCATTTGATCGAGTGTGTGGGCAATGCGTGGATTGGAGTCGGTTGCCAGGGTGGTGCGGTCATGGGTGAGAACCTGCTGCAGGTTGGAAAGCTCCTGCTCATTCATACCGAGAGAGTCTACATACGGAAGGACAAAGTGACGCAGCTCCTGCAGCAGCTTCAGCTCGACATAGGAGGCCATCTCAAAATGATTCCTTGTGTCACTGGGCTGGCTGGTCAGCTGCATTTTCACTTGTTGCAGGCGCTTCTCTCGCTCGCCCGGGTTAAAACTGAACATGTCCATCATCTGCAGGCCACTAACCACTAGCAACTGGGGTTGGTAAAGCTTCAAGGCATTCGTCATCTGTTCCACCGCCCTGATATGCGGATTGTTCTTGTCGCTGTGCAGTATATAGCGGTTAGCACGTGGTGCCACCAATAGACCCCAGGTATCGCCCGCCATGTACTCCAGTATTATATGTATGTCATCGTCGGGGATCTCCTCGCCCGCCAGCCGAATCTCCTTGGGCAGCAGGGGGCGCAGTCTGAGAGATAATAAACATTAGCTACAGGATTATTTCAGATGAGAAAAAAAATACTTCTTGGACATGTGAGCGCCCAGTAGGACTTCGGCTCCCTCCATGAAAAATCGCACAGCCATCAGCGGAGCATTGCCGCCCATGTACCAGTGGATACGCTCCTTGTCCATCACCTTGGCATATCCAATCAATTGTTTAAACAATGTTCCATTGGCCATAACTCGCCTACAGGAAAGTTGATTTAGGTAAAGTGCTCCCTATCCGAATAAATTTCCTACTTACTCCGCAGCCGCTCCGTTTTGAAAGTAATAGGCAAAAGACTGAAGCAGCTCGTCTTCGTTTTTGACGACGTCCCTGGCGGATGTTGTCACTTTGGGGATCCGCCCCTTGTAGAACCTGTTCAGGAACTCCGTGGCGTTGATCTGCAAATCTGTGCAGGCTCCGTACCCTATGGCTACCTTTGGGGCAGGCTCGTATGTTGGTCTCTTCAGGCTGCTCTCGATGGCCAGGAGACCGGTAAGCAGCACTGTGGTCCTATTTAGAGTCTTCAGCGTCAGGAACGCCTGCCAGATAATCGATACAAGAGCCGTAAACAACGAGAAGCCCGTCACCCAGCCCATGTACCGCAACGCAGTCATATTTCGGCCACAAAAACTTCTTAAAAGTTTGACCGAAAATGTTTGCCGGCTTGTGCCCTTCCGCCCTGTGGCGTTTCTTTGGATCTGATAGATTCCGTATACCCTTTGACCTTCAAGTGCATTCAGGGTATGTGGATGCTGAGGCAGTTTTCCACACCGTTAGCTGATGTTTATTTGTTCTATAATGGCTTAAATTAAATATTTAAAAATCTTATTTTGTGTCTGTTGAACGTGTGTGACCGGAACTATTAATAAAAAATACCGCCTGACCTTCAGACGTATACCGAAATATAGATTTTCATTTTTAAATATACCGTAGAAATACATACGTGAAAAAAATTTAAAATTATGGTCGTATGACACCAGAGACCAAATAGTGGTCTAAGTTTGCTGCTAAAAGACGCAAGGATGAAGGATTCAAAGCGCCAAGTTAGTGTTCGTAGTTTTTAAAGACGTGAAAGTAGTTAATGGGCAATTCACTGACGCAGAACAGGGCGTTCGTACGCATTGCAAGCAGATTTTCAAAAATATTTTAACATTATAATACACCCATGGACCATCTCTATAACTATTTTAAAAATAAGCATGTGAATCGCAAGGGACAAACCAAGCCAGTGGTTTTTGCCGCTACCAAACCTAAACTCAGATTTCAGCGAAACTAGATGCAATATAATAAGAGAATTTCTGATAAGTCTGGTCCAAAAATTTCTGTATCGCGGGGACAAAATGTATAAAAGTACGTTCGCGGAGATTGAATAATTTATTTCGAATTTTTTGTATATGGTTTAGTATTCTAGAAAGATTTTGTGGAACAACTTTTCATAAGGCCCAGTATTCAGATGCTTTCAGATTTCGCCCTGCGCTGCCCAGAATGACCAAAGTGGACAAAGTGCATGCTTTCTGGGTACACTATTTTGTGATTGTTTACAAAAGAAAACCCGTTAAAACCTAAAATCTTGTATACAATCATGAGGAGTGTGTTATTTCAGAGTGGATATGAAGCGGACAGAAATGCAATAATTATGTATTTTATCTCCTTATAAATTGAAAAAACGATAATCGAGTATAAAAAACGTAAAAGTGAAATGTTATGCATATAATGTAGATTAGTTACTTTTCAATTAATTAGACAGAAATATCGCTGCATAATTACTTGGAAATGAGTTTGTTTTGGCATTTAATTTTGGCATGTGTCGACCTCGTCAGAGAAGTGAACAAATGTACAGAAATGTTTTAAGTAAATTTGCTAAACTTAAAAATACGTACGGTAAAATATAAGTTGTTGTTTGTAAGATTATTAAGTTTTTTCCGAACATAGATATGTATAACAAACATTTAAATATTATTTTTTTTACAGTTTTAAGCATTCTTTTGTGGAGTTTACGTAAAATCTCTTGACTATGTTGGCTTAAACTAGTATCAGTTGATAATATGATTTAATGTGATGACAAAATATTAAAATACCATTATTCATTTCTTGCTTTATTTTTTTCAACTATTTTAGTTTTGATGTTTGTCCATAATGGTCATATTTGTCCAGAATTCACAACGATGTTCTGGCTGTGTGGGTTCTGTATTATGATCAGAAAGGATATCTAAACCTTTTATAATATAGAACCCACATAACCAGAACATGGTTCTGGATAATAATGATAATGTCTCGGTTTCACCGCATCCTTTTCCTTTCATTTTAGTCAGTTAGCATTTGAATGACCTTATTTGACCATATTCGCAGTGTTAAAAAACAAGCAATCGAATAAGTTCCGAATCACTTTAGGATCAATCAAGTCTTCTTCAATGCCCGGAGTTTGTAGATCACCACAACGAATGGAACCAATTGGCTTTAATACAAAAATTATGTAGATACGTAGCTTCCCTAACAAAGTAAACAAAAAAGGTTATTTTTTTCAGAGTAACCCTATACATATTGTAGAAAGGACAAACATAGCAAATTCTTTGGGTATTGAAAGTACGTCGGAGAGTTGAAAACGAAAAATAAGAAGAGACAATCTAATCATTCAGAACCTACAATGGAGATTTGAAGCTCTGCATAAAATTTCTGAAGATTTAGAGTTTCTATCAGGCTCAAAAATAGCAGCCACAACAGATAATGAGCTTAAAAAAGCTTCGGAAGATTTGGCCAGAATGTATAATGAAGACTTTATTCAAAATGATTTTGCCCGTGAAAAAAAAATTGTGTCCTGCATTGAATTCAAATTTTGCTAACCTGTACCATCTTGAGGTTCTCCAGCTAATACTAAATTATATTTTGACAACAAACTATAAATATTTGGATAGATAGGATAGGCCTTATCTTTATAGCCGGTACTCGAAGAGTAAATAGGGTATATCATATTTGTGCACAAAAGTGGATGCATGTAACACACAGAAGGAAACATTTGCGACCCCATTAAGTATATATATTCTTTATAGGGTCAAATTAAACTGAGGTACATGAGCAAAATGTTCACTAAAATGTTCCTACACCACTCGCGATCCATACCAGACCCCCATCCTATTTCAGATGGTGCTGCACATAGCAGGACTCTTTTGGAGTCCGATCATTGCTACCGGCCAACGAAGGGCCTGTTGTCTCCTTCTTATTTTCCTGCGGTATTCAGCCATACTCTTAAGTAGGCGTGGAATAACACTGATATACTGGTCTTGGAGATTCTCCATTGAGTGCAGGCTGGCAATCTCTCCCGTGTTGCTCTAATAGACGGTATTGGTATTGGTGTTTCAGCTTAGTGCTTCTACCCAGCTCAAAGGTGCTATTAGTCGAAGAGCTGTGGGACTATTTGTGTAAAACAGAAGTTCATCAACTTCAAATATGTACATACATATGTATGTATATCCGATTTATATTATAAATATATTGTACATAATTGAAATGCAACGTCCGAGTATCATGCTGAATGAAGATGCGCCATGAGACTTAAATCCGCTAAGGTACTCGAAGAGCTTCCATAACATCTCATTACCTTTTGAAGAGACTACGTATCAACAAGCCTTTTGAAGAGACTACGTATCAAAAAACAGTCTTCCTGCGTCACAGCAGCATCTTTTCAGTAATTTCTATTTCATACCCTGGCAGCGGGTAACGAAGATGTTTATAATAAATTAAGTAAAAAGGAACCACCACGAGAGTACACTTTCAAATCATTCGTCAGACATAGAAAGAGTCGGTTGCAGCCAAATCGTATCTAATTTTGTAAGTGGTGGGACCACTAAATAATATATGAACGATTATCTGTGATTAAAAGGGTATTTAAAGATTCGACACTCGAGGGTTTGGCCTTTCTCTTCTGATTTTTACGGTTCCTTCTTGTTGCTTGGGCCTGTCGATTTTTATACATAACTAGTTGTTGCTCGTTGCTGCTGCTTCTTCTTTTTCGTTGTTTCTCTATAAATGTTGCTAGCCGTTATTGTTGGATTGACACAAGGTTAATCAATATTGCACCAGGCATAGATGTGTCCGGACTCCGGAGGGTGTGTGACTTGTATAGGAAGTGTTATCTGCGCGTGTTTGGGGATAAATGGATATTAAGTACTAGATCGATAGTAAGTACATTTCAAGTGCAAATTAATTACATTGTATAGATAGTTTTGAATAGACTTCATCCTATCTAGTTCCATTGCCCATTACTTTTTGATTTACACTCTCTTGTCGCTAATGCAAATGAAAATTTATTCATTCCTGTTTTATGGCCCTGCAGCTTATAAAAAAATCAACATCCCATCCCATCCCCATTCGCATGAGCCAATTAGTGTCTATAAAATACTTCTGATACCTGGACCAAAGTCGGCCTGCTTCTATTTATAACAGTTTCGCTTCAAGCTCCAAGTCTTGAATGTCCGATTTTATCCCGTAACACGGAGAAGAAGAAGACACGAGACACACGATGACTTGTCGTTTGTAGTTTAGAATCGGAATCACTTGGTGGGGACGGGGACCGGTCAGAGGCCATCACGCATGATAAGTGTATTGCCTGGCTCTATCTCTGTCTGGTCTGGACACTATTTTTATCACCTGAACGAAAGTGAATATCACAAATTTAACGCTTCTCAGTCCATCTCAGCATTAACCGGCTGGTCTGGGGCGGTCGGTTTGTCTGTCTGGCCCTCTGTCCTTTCGTCTACCTGTCTGCCTGTGTGCTTGTCTGTCTGTCTGTCTGTATGTCTGTCACTCTGTACGAGTGTGTTGTGGCGCAGACAGCGGCAATACATGTTGTTGCTGTCCGGACATACCTGGTGCTTGTATGGGACTAGGGTATTTTCTGTTCGTGTGCATCCATGTAACAGATTTAACGCAAAAAAAACCTAGATGGTAATGTTTTCGCCATCAATAACCTGTGTTAAAATATACATTTTTATGTATGTACATATGTACATATTTATATCTGCTTGTTTATTCGGGATGTCCTATTATTCGAGGTAGCCCCTAATTTCATCATTATTCCTTCTCAAAGAATTTTAAAGTTTTTATTCGCAGTATCGGCGGTATTCGGCAGTCGGAATGCTCATACTCAACGGCGTTCTTGCTTGTCTTACCTTGCTTTTGTTCTTTTTCGCGTGTTTCGTGTGCGATTGTTTTTGCTGTTTTGTTTTAGTTGTATTTTATTTTATTCTATGCGTAGTCCGCCGTCCGCCGTCAGCAGTCCGCTGGGGACTATCCATATAAAATCAACATAATCGGAAATTCTACCAAGCAGTTGATTCTAAGCAATTGACGGAGCCGGACGCTCACTCCGCCTGCCCTGGAATATTGATAATTTTGTTCTTTTTCGCTCTCTCTTTAACTCTCTTGTGTAATTGTGCAATTGGTGTTCTTGTGACAGTTGCAAGATTTACACCGAAACAGAAACGCGGTATCGGATCGGTATAGGGATCCGTGAACTAAAAGTGATCGTAGACAACGATTTTATCTATAAGGTAAATCTCTCTCGTGGTGATAACTATAGTTTGTACATATATATACATATATGTATATACATTTGTACATATACATATATGTACTTGAGATATAGAAATGTACAAATATACGAGTATGTGTCTGCGTGGTGTTCTATTTGTCTGCGTTTGTTTCCTAAGTCTTTTGTTTCGACTTTCTGCTCGCTTTGTGCTGAAAGGAAGCAGTTCGCTTAGTTAAATGAAATCAAAATTTAAATTAATCTTTATCACAACTGGATTTGGCACGCTTTCAAGCGTCTGTCATATGTACAGCAAGCTCTGTTTCGGTTTCCCTATTCATCGACACTTCCGCGTGCAGTCCAACATAATTTATATAATTTGTTGGTAAGTCTTTGACTTAATAGTTCTGCGCGCAAGATCAATATCAATTAGATGATAAAAGTGAACAAGGAACCCAGATAATACGAGTAGCTAGCTGGGAGAAGAAGATGTGCACAAATTCGCGAAATTAACCCATCTTAATTGTCATCGCTAAACTATTTTAGAATAAAACAACATCGCACATATTCGACTCGCAGCCAAACGGATTACTCATATTATTATTTATGCAAATATAGTTTTCAGATAGTTTTTACCAACGCAATAAATTAGCATAATTTAGTGAATAATATTTAAGTCCAAAATGTTCAAATTTGTCGGTCCAGCTGTCTATAGAGACGCAAATTCATTCTAAAGAAGACAAAACAAAAAACAAATCAGAAAGGTGAATAAACTGAAGATGCCTGACTTCTGTGTAATGCCGGGGCTAGGCTGGGGAACTGGTTCACACTCGAGGACGTCACCAAAGAAATCGAGAGTTCAACCGAGATAATACGAGCCCCACAGACCTCATTAGCCACCATGTACATACATACATATATTTACTTACACATACTCTGATCTAAATCTCACTCTTTCGCTTCCCTCTTTGTGTAGCTGTCGTGTAAGATGTCATCGCATGTGCCGCCAGTGTTTGCTCTGATCTTCCTGATCTCTCTTGGCTGTGTGACGTCACAGCGCACGTCATTGGATGTGGCTCTGAGGAATGTCTACCGTCCGTTGCGTCTACTTGGCCTTGCCTTCACAGGGAGATCTGGCGACGATATACAAAACGTGCAGCGCGTGCGAAATGCAGGGGTAACTTCAAAGATCCGGAGTGAATCAACACACTCTTTACAAGTAGGTAAATTCCTTTTCCCTTTTTATGTTAGAAAACCCAAAAATCGAATCCGCGGACTCGGGCCTTGCTGCAGTTCTGTGATGCCGAGCATGGGCCTGGAAAACGCAGCGAAGAGCGACCGACGAGTGTGCATCGTTTGCGTCCTGGGGATATCGATGTAATCGGCGCCATGGGCGATTCGCTTACAGCAGGCAACGGCGTATTTGCCACCAATCTGCTGCACGTGACCGTGGAGAATCGCGGCGTGGTGTGGTCGATTGGGGGACAACACAACTGGCGAAAGTATCTGACGTTGCCCAACATTCTCAAGGAGTTCAATCCGAATCTGTATGGGTACGCGATCAAGGATGGCATATCCACCGATCGGTCATCTCGCTTCGATGTGGCCGAGCTGGCAGCCATGTCCAGGGACATGCCTTATATGGCTACGGTTCTGGTGAAACGAATGCAGCGGGATCCTAACGTGAACATGACCAGGGACTGGAAGCTGGTCACCCTCTTCATTGGGAACAACGACTTCTGCACCGACATCTGCTACTATCCGGAGCCGGAGATGACGATTAAGTGGCATGAACAGAACATGCTCAAGACCTATCGTTATCTCCGGGACAATGTGCCCCGCCTCATGCTGAATGTGGTCCCTGCACCGAACCTCCGTTTTCTCACAAACCTGTCGGGCCTCCCATCCGCCTGCTACACCACTCTGCGCTTCGAGTGCCCCTGCCTGATGGGAAAGGGCAAGGGACGCTTGGACTACCTGGAGGGTATCATGAAGCGTTGGATTGCAAAGGACTCGGAGATTGCCAGCAGAGAGGAGTTCAGTACGGAGGTGAGAAAGCATGAAAAAGAGCATCTTCCTCCACCATTTAGTTTTAATGGTTCCACTGCCCTTTCAGACTTTCACAATCAACGTGCAGCCGTTCTCACAGTTTCGGGACTTTCCCCGCACTCGCTCCGGCATGACGGATACGCGCTTCTTCTCCGAGGACTGCTTCCACCTTAGCCAACGGGGCCACGCCGCTGCGGCCAACTCAATTTGGAACAATATGCTCGAGCTGCCGGGCGAGAAGAGCGGCTTTGCCACCCAACTCTTTGAGACCTTCCACTGTCCCACCGAGCAGCGTCCATTTCTCATAACCCGGGAGAACAGTTCTCCGGACTTTGTGATCTAACTTAATGTGTGTTTGAGCTCTGTGAATTTCCTGTGATATCTTGCCTAAGTCTTTTTTCCATATTCGTATATTCTATGTACATACATATATACCTTAAACTTGTATAATACTTTTATTTGTAGCTCAAATTAGCGCCTTGATAAATGTAACTACGTGTACCCGATGAGAAATTGCACCTCTTCGAGAATCAATAAACTAAACAAAATGATATTAATAATCTATGATCGGAATGGCGATGGGAATATACAGAAAAGTAGAAGAGTAGCGGCGGACAGCGAAATTATGAGAGCCTTCCTTCTGGTGGTGAGTCTGAAATTACGAACCCCCCTTGTGACGAGCGGTCACAGCCCCAAACGTGGATGACACACACTCACCACAAACGCACCACACACGCACCACACACGCGCATTCCACCCCGCAGTGTGGGGCGCGACACGAAACCTGTTACAATTTATTTCGTATGGAACATCAATAAAGCTCGCTCATAATTGCTGCTTCGTTTGTGTGAGCCGGTGTCGGTGCTGACTGCTGTTTATGAAACATTGAAATTTCTCAATTCTGTACGTGTTTTTGCATGCTAATCGCCCAGCGCCCCCTATTAACCCAACCGGACCGTTCAACGGTTTCGCTGGGCAGTGCAAAAAAGCAATAACAATTAACACTGTCAAAAGGGCGGGAGCGTGAAAGAGAAAATGAGAGACAGTGTAGGGCCGACGAAGAGGCAAAGGTCAGGCTGTTGCATTGCCATTGACTTTGAACTTGAACTTGAGCAGGGGGTGGGCGTGGCGTGTGTGCATGTGCTGTGGTTTTGGATGGCATTCTGATTGCACATTTTTGGCTCTACGTGAGATTTAGCACTTTGTTGCCAATGGATGCATCGAGGCCGGTAAGTTTTTTAAATTCTACTTGATTTATCTCAATGTATAGTATGTGTACTAGATAAAATCACTAAACAGTATAGCTGCGGTTGACACCATATATTTAAATGGAGCTGTTCTCGATGAGATTTAATTCAAATTGCGAGGTCTGGTGAAATTGTTTAATAAATGCGACCGTCAAGCCATGATTCAGTTGGAATCCGGACATTGTATCTATTTGCAGCACGAATCCATTCAATTGTATTTTCATTTGATGGAGTCCAAGAGAAAAGGAGAATTTATTCAAAATAATTTTCTTTCGCGCCAAATGTACGGTGTCTCCACCTGTAGGGCTCGAGCCGAACCAATATGCGTAAGTATCGATAACAATATTGTCATTCACTGCGAGAAACACGTTAGTTTTCGGAGAAGAGTAAACTCTATAAGTTTTCATCAGCAGGGTGATCAGTAACGGTATATTGTATACATTTGGGGATGTTTTAACTGCGAAAATGAGTTTAATCATAGTATATACTATTTGGTTAAAGGTTTAATGTATAGCTACGGTATATCGGTATATGACGTTTTTATTTGGTATTCGACAAAAAAACCAAACCCAAAAAGGCGCCAAGTTCAAGATCATAAGAACATTTATCTCTATATTATATACACATAAAATGAACATAAAGAAATTGTTAAGAAAATGAATTTTAACGTTTTGCTTTTTAATCTATAACCTATAACCTTTAACCGAAATCGTTAATGGAAATCCATGGACTCATGGACACTCTGCTATCCTGATTATCTGTAACGCTACAGATCAATTCATGCTTCTCAATTATTCTTGTGGTTCTTAAATGTTGCACTTCTTCTATAATTGTAATAAAACTTCATAGCCAAGGTTATGGGTTCCATTCGAAAGCCCCATCCATATCTTTCATAAAAAGTGGGTTCGTTCCTTGAGGAACGTTCCCACCCGCGTAACTTGTAATGCTAATTTTTAACGAAGATCTTTTTAGTTTCAACGTTATTTTGCAATCAATCATATAAAGATAAGTCAGGAAAATCGGTCAATCTTGTGGAAAATTGAATTGTAATTAGGGGTAAAATTACAGTATTATGCTGAAAGCTTTAACCAGCTTGTAATATTGAACAGAAGATGAAAGTCTAGGAAAATTATTTAAGATTACGGTATATTTACAGTATATTTTGAAAATAAACGGGTTGTATATTTCCGAGGGTCTGTTGAAATATTTTATCAATAGTTCCGAAGTCACAAATATATAAAAAAGATCATATCGGTGATATATTTTGCTTGGAAAAAATATCAAAATTTTTTTTTTTTTTTTTTTTTTCTCTTTCTTTATATTTACAATCTGTTTTTAAACAATAAGTAAATTGTATAATTAATATTCAATTAACAGAAATAGCAGTTTTCCAATGAGCCCTGCTATTATATATAACATCTTTTTAGTTTGTTAAATTTATCTATCAGGGATATCGAGAATGTGGTATCTTTTCAGTCTTCTTACTGTTAGGCTATTGTCTAATAGACTTAAGGCTAAATTATTTTCGTGGTTGTGGAGTCTGTCGATGTATTTCTTACTAGTTTTCTTTATTTCTTCTTTAATGGTTGGAATATTCAGATCTTTGTGGATGTTTGCATTAGATACGTAAAACGGAGCATTGACAATTTGTCGCAAAGTTTTTGATTGGTAACGCTGAAGTATTTCAATATTTGAGTTGCTAGCAGTTCCCCAAAGCTGTATAGCGTAGGTCCAAACAGGCTTCAGTATGGATTTGTAGAGGCGAATTTTGTTTTCCAAAGTGGTTTCTGATTTTCGACTTATCAGCCAGGACATTTTTAGTGTTTTAAGTCTAAGTTGTTGACATTTTGCTTTAATGTGGTTTTTCCATGTTAATCTGCGGTCGAGATGCAAGCCGAGATACTTCACACAGGTACTTTGTGGAATTGGTGAGCCGTTAAGTGTAACATTTGGGCAGTTACCTGGTCTTAATGAAAACGTTATTTGGACGGATTTCAGGGAGTTTATTCTAATTTTCCATCGAAGGAACCAGTCTTCAATTAGGCTTAGCTCACTCTGCAGGAGTTCAGAAGCTTCATTTATAGATGTGCTTGTGGCTAAAACGGCTGTATCATCAGCATATGTTGCAACAGTGCAGTTGTTTGTAACTGGNTTTTTTTTTTTTTTTTTTTTTTCTCTCTCTTTATATTTACAATCTGTTTTTAAACAATAAGTAAATTGTATAATTAATATTCAATTAACAGAAATAGCAGTTTTCCAATGAGCCCTGCTATTATATATAACATCTTTTTAGTTTGTTAAATTTATCTATCAGGGATATCGAGAATGTGGTATCTTTTCAGTCTTCTTACTGTTAGGCTATTGTCTAATAGACTTAAGGCTAAATTATTTTCGTGGTTGTGGAGTCTGTCGATGTATTTCTTACTAGTTTTCTTTATTTCTTCTTTAATGGTTGGAATATTCAGATCTTTGTGGATGTTTGCATTAGATACGTAAAACGGAGCATTGACAATTTGTCGCAAAGTTTTTGATTGGTAACGCTGAAGTATTTCAATATTTGAGTTGCTAGCAGTTCCCCAAAGCTGTATAGCGTAGGTCCAAACAGGCTTCAGTATGGATTTGTAGAGGCGAATTTTGTTTTCCAAAGTGGTTTCTGATTTTCGACTTATCAGCCAGGACATTTTTAGTGTTTTAAGTCTAAGTTGTTGACATTTTGCTTTAATGTGGTTTTTCCATGTTAATCTGCGGTCGAGATGCAAGCCGAGATACTTCACACAGGTACTTTGTGGAATTGGTGAGCCGTTAAGTGTAACATTTGGGCAGTTACCTGGTCTTAATGAAAACGTTATTTGGACGGATTTCAGGGAGTTTATTCTAATTTTCCATCGAAGGAACCAGTCTTCAATTAGGCTTCAATATAGATTATATTATTATATTCTTTATGGTCGTTCCTGTTGCCAGGATGAGCACGAGGCCCATATTTAATAACAAACGGATACTCAACAGGTTACGGAATTGGAACCGTATTCCCTTTCGTTCAAAATTATTCAAGTGTTTCAAAAAAATCATTAAAGATTTGACAATATATGCTTATTGATTTTTTACTTGAAAATTTTCGGCTTTCGCCTTGAACTTAGGACCGACTAACTCGTGATCAACCACTGTTCACACGAAACCCTTCTCCACTTCAGTCCTCCAAGGTCTCATTCGATTATTTGCTACTACCACCAAGATCTGTGCCAATGGCAGCTCCATGCAGGCTTACGCCAAACACTTCTACGCTTACCATTGTACCTTCCTACTCACTAAAGTTTCAAAATTTATATCACAAGTAATATAAATCATCTACTTTAGNACACAACAGTATATGTCATGCTCTTCTAGCCCATCTACCATATCTCTCTGCGAAAGACTTCCATGGTAGTACGGCTATAAAACAGAAAAGAAAACTCTTCCGATATCTCTCGACGGCTTCTTTATGGTCGTTCCTGTTGCCAGGATGAGCACGAGGCCCATATTTAATAACAAACGGATACTCAACAGGTTACGGAATTAGAACCGTATTCCCTTTCGTTCAAAATTATTCAAGTGTTTCAAAAAAATCATTAAAGATTTGACAATATATGCTTATTGATTTTTTACTTGAAAATTTTCGGCTTTCGCCTTGAACTTAGGACCGACTAACTCGTGATCAACCACTGTTCACACGAAACCCTTCTCCACTTCAGTCCTTCAAGGTCTCATTCGATTATTTGCTACTACCACCAAGATCTGTGCCAATGGCAGCTCCATGCAGGCTTACGCCAAACACTTCTACGCTTACCATTGTACCTTCCTACTCACTAAAGTTTCAAAATTTATATCACAAGTAATATAAATCATCTACTTTAGCGGTAATGTATAGGTATACAACTTAAGCGCCATCCATTTTANCTCCTTAGCGGATTTCGACTTCCATGATCACCGTCCTGCTGTTTTAAGCAACCAACGCCTTTCATGGTTTCTGCATGAGTTGTTAATTTGGGCACCGTAACATTACGTTTGGTTCATCCCACAGCGCCAGTTCTGCTTACCAAAAGTGGCCCACTGGGCACATTATATCATAACCTTAAACTTCATATCAAGAAAGTTAAGGTTCTTACCCATTTAAAGTTTGAGAATAGGTTAAGATCGTTTCGACCCTAAGGCCTCTAATCATTCGCTTTACCAGATAAGATTATTTTATATAACATTAAAATGCACCAGCTATCCTGAGGGAAACTTCGGAAGGAACCAGCTACTAGATGGTTCGATTGGTCTTTCGCCCCTATACTCAATTCTGACAATCGATTTGCACGTCAGAACTGTTTCGGTCTTCCATCAGGGTTTCCCCTGACTTCAACCTGATCAAGTATAGTTCACCATCTTTCGGGTCACAGCATATATGCTCAAGGTACGTTCCAGTTAGAGGCATAAATAATATAAATATTATTATACATAACTATATAGAACGCCCCGGGATTGTGTTAATTATCTATAAATAGTTAAAAAACTAATCCCATTATTAGTCAAGTTA